ATGTTTTTTTGCTTAGAGAGGTTGGCTTTGATTTGGATTTATTGTATTTGTCAAGGAACTGAGGGGGAGGGTATTCGTGTTGGGAAGTTAGCAGCTATGTGATGTTATAGGTAACTCCTGTGACCATGTGATCCATTTCTTTGGGGGAACTGGGATCTTCCTACTGGGCTGGTAACAAGACCATGAGAGGGAGTTTTGCTGCTTTTCTTTGCTCCCTTGGCCTCTTCTTCATTGTGATAAACAGTACCATTTCTAGCCCTTGGGGCAGATGAGTGAGTTCACCAGGGGTTTGTGTTTCAGGGTATAGAGTATAGTGTTTAGTATCTTAACAAATCAAGAATCAATTATCTTCAAGAATAAACAGGAAGTTTTTTATGTCTAGGATAAACTAGTTTAAATGCTGAAACCAGTCCTTCAAAAGAAGCACTTGGGAGCAATGGAGTATGTTTTTAAAATGTAGTTGACATCACATACTGAAATGAGATTGGTAGATCAGTCCACAGGTTTCATATCTTGGGAGAACAATGGTAGTTTTTTCAGGTGGTGTTCTAAGGCATTAATTTGTGTGTGAACAAAGATGATTCTGATAAAATCACAGGAATAATAATGTCACCCAACATCTGGGTAAAAGCTTTTACTTAATTATTTGAGAGTTCAGGGCATTTAGTGCTTTGTTTTTTTATCATTTTTGCTTGAAAAAGTTTCCCCTGCATGTCTTCTACACCATGGAGGGATGCTGATGGTGATTACTTTTGCAGGTAATTGAAGGGAGAATTAAAGCAAAGGTGGTTCAAAAGGACACTTCATGAGATCGCTCTAGTCTTTTCCACTCCTACACACACCACATATGCTATTTAACATCACTGAAGCTGTATTATGTTAACATACCAAAGAACTGTGAATTCTGCTTGTACTAACCCACAACAAAATTTAAAACAAAACAACCCCCACCCCACAAAAGGCATTACTTCCTCTCATGGAATTCCACCGAGCATGAACCAATTTCATTTGTCCTGAGAGCTCTATAACCCTATCTGGACTAACAGTTAACATTCCATTTTTCCCCTTTTAAAGAAAAAAACAAAATAGCTTTTTTGAGGCATAATTGACATATGGAAAACACATATAATTTAAACGGCACAATCTTATAAATTATGATACATCTGTGAAACCATCACCAAAAACAAGATAAAGGAAGATTTATCTCCCTCATGAGTTTCCTCCTGCCTGCTCCTTGGTAATCAGTCCCTATACTCTCAACCAGGCAGTTAACCAACGCCTACCATCTCTAAAGATTAGGTTGCACTTTTTAAAATTTGAAGTAATTGAAACAGGAATGCACATACCTTTGGGGGGGATCTGGCTTCTTTCACTCAGCACAGTTATTTTGAAATTCAGCCATGTTGTAGCATATGTTAATAATAATTCATTCCTATTTTATTGCTAAATAATAGCCTATAAATGCCATGGTTTGACTATCCATTTATTTGTTGGCAGATATTTGGATTGTTCATGGGTATTGTCTTTTTTGAAATACTTTGTTTGTTTGTTTGTTTGTTTCCTTGAGGGAGGGTCTTATTATATAGCTCAGACTAGCCTTGAACTCCAGGCTGGCTTCAAACTACCAGTGATCCTCCTACCTCAGCCTCCCAAGTGCTGGGATTACAGGAGTGCACCCAGCTTGGATTTTGGCTTTTATAGATACGTATGGCATAGTTTAAGCACCACTAACCCAAAAATCCAAAGTCTAAAGTGCTCTGAAGTCTGAAGTTTTGATTTCTAAGTGCTTTAGATAAAATATGCCCAGCTGTCTAGTCTTTTTCTCCCATCTTGGAGCATATATCTTTATTCTTTATAAAACACCTATTTAAGAGCAAATATTTTGATGGATTAATGTATCAATTTGTTCTTTAGATGATCTAATGTTATATCTAAACTGTTTTTACATAATTCAAGATCACAAGGGCTTTCTCCCAAAAGTATTATAGTTTTTTTGAGGCATAATAATTAAGCCTGTGACTGATTTTGAGTTAATTTTT